AAAAGTGTCTATGCCGGCGCGAAGCGCCGGCTCGAGCGAGAAAGTCCCGTGCGGTCCCCGCACCAATCCGGTAAGCGGATGGGGGGGCGAAGCCCCCCAAATGCCGGCGCGAAGCGCCGCGCATAAATTGGCCGGAGGCCAATTTTTTTGACAATCGGCAAGACTTCCTAACCACATTTCGACTAAAACTCAATAATTAAACAACGTATGAAGCTGTGACGATTTTGTTTTTAGCACTTTTTCTTAAATGACTAAAAATTGACTTACACATTGATTTTAAACTTTTGTCGAGGTGATTGGAATGACATGCAGTAAATGCTTGTTTTTATTTGGACTTTGGACACTGTTTAGCTGCGTCACGGGGCAGACGAGGTACGCAACGACTGAGGATGATGCTCTCTTGGTTTACACACCTCACCCGAACCTTCAGAACTCACTCCGAGAGCATCTCATTATTCCAGATCTGCTCAGAATTGGCCCGGAATATGTACTTGATGTAAGAACATTTTTAAGCTGGTCTTAGGTTGTGTCGAATTCTCTAATTATTCAGTTCGTGATTGGCGTGTGGCCAAACATTGCGAGTCAACAAGAGTGTACCTTTATCATGCTTGAGTGTTTAGGGGGGTTACTCCGGATGAAGTGGCTGGACTGACAGTGCATGTTACCAGAATGTACGTATATCGTCACCTTCCAGGCAAAGTATCACAAGCGCCATGCGACGTTTAAAAATTTCCACCGCCATTATATTTTTTTGCGGAGAAATTGTTCAACGAAGCTGTCTAAAAAATTACACCGAATTTTCTTTGTGCTGCCGATAAAATTTAGTGAAATTTTCGAACAGATTCAACCAACAATTTCTCAGTAAAAAAATACAATGGCGGCGGAAATTTTTAAACGTCGCATGGCGCTTGTGATACTTTGCCTGGAAGGTGACGATATGTCATTCACAATTTGATTCGGTTTCTACCGCAGGCCGAATAAGTAGACAATTTTAGTACCGTTGCCAAGATTTGTTAACCCACAAAAGAAGTATCTCAGTTAAAAACTTCCGTGTTCATGTTTCTTTGGGTTATACGAGGGTCATCCAAAAAGTAAGTTTCCCTACCTTGTATCTTCCGAACGAAAAGAGATAAATCAAATCGGTAAAAAAACACATATTAGACATACTCCAAGCTTTAAAACAAACTCAAGTTTTTGAAAATCGGTCAAGGATTTCGCGAGTAAACTTAATTTTACTGAGACAACCTCCTGTCGCCGTGTGCCCACCTCCGGGGTCAGGATGCGCGGAGAGTCGATTATAGAAGACTCGGGTTATCGCCTCTATACATCACATCAACAAGGAATTTTAATGTTTTCATTGAGCAGGCCTTACCTTACTTTTTGACATAGTCTCCACATCTTTTTTGATATTTCTAGTATCATCATAGCAGCTTCTTGATGCTCTCCGCGTAGAAGCTTTCGCCTTGACTCTGAAACCAGTCATTGACAGCGATCTGTACCTCTGAATCGGTTGAAAATCGCTTTCATCGTGGAAGTTTTTCCGCTCGGGAACAAATGAAAGTCACATGAAGCTAAAATATGAAAGTTTGAAGGATTGGGGGAAAATTTCCCTACGAAAAGCAACTGATTTGGGAGAGCAGATCGCTGTCAATGACTAGTTTCGGAGCCAAGACGAGATCTTCTACGCGGAGGGCGTCAAGAAGCTGCTGTAATGATACCAAAAATGTCAAAGAAGATGTGGAGACTACGTCAAAAAGTAAGGTAACTACTACTAACTACTAGTAAGGTAGTTACTCAATGAAAACTTTAAAATTTCTTGTTAATGTGATGTATAGAGGCGATAACCCGAGTCTTCTATAGTCGACTCTCCGCGCATCCTGACCCCGGAGGTGGGCACGCGGCGACAGGAGGTTGTCTCAGTAAAATTAAGTTTACTCGCGAAATCCTGGACCGATTTTCAAAAACTTGAGTTTGTTTTAAAGCTTGGAGTATGTCTAATATGTATTTTTTTACCGATTTGATTTATCTCTTTTCGTTCGGAAGATACAAGGTAGGGAAACTTACTTTTTGGATGACCCTCGTACTTTAAGTTACTTTCTTTCGGTCAGAGCCACCAATAGGACTCAGTTGATTCGACCATATCTTTGATTAAAATGACCGAAATCGCAGGTTACTCTGAGACGTTTAAGGATAAAGAAAGTGTATGCTGAAACAATGTGCTCTTATTTTTCTCGATATCATTCAAAGGTCGCAACTTGGCGGTGGTGACTAGCGCATCGGGCAATCACCGATGTTTAATAGGTTCGGACAACCTTTTGTCTTCGTGTTTTAAGGTACGTAATAAATGAAAGTCTTAAAACCATCACGAGAAACTTTTTTTTTTCAATATTGGACGGACATTAGTAGATCTTATCACTCATTGGGTCCTGATACAAAGTTTAAACCATTTTCAACTGTTTTCAGTTGAATTACGGGAACAAATCAGTCTCGTTTGGAAATGAATTTACTCCTGAGGAATTGGAAAATGAGCCCACATCCTTGCATTGGACCTGTCGTGAGGACGCTTTCCACACTTTGATCGTAGTAGGTACGCGTATTTATATTCTTCATATTAAATTACAATTCAAAACTTAAGTAGGGTTCTATCAGAAAGTTTGAATTTTGACCCCTCAAAATTAAATTTAACTTACATGTAATTAAATAAAAAATCACCAAAAATTTCATTATCCCGGTAAAGAGTCATTAACCTTATATTCGTTGTTCCATCTTTCCACCATGAGACGTGAAAAAATTTCAATTGTCGTGTAATGTTGAAGAATATCCTTTAAACAAATCTTACCGTCAATCGGTAAAAGTTTGGACACTATCTATCTTGGTGCTTAGATGAAGTCCGGGACCTTCCCGTCCAATTTTCGACACAGTCCAGACAGGGACGTATTCTATAAGACGCCGCACAGTTGTAAGCAGCTGATCGCAACGAAACCTCGCGTATAGGATCCTCGTGAAATCAGAGGATCCTTCCCCCAAATCTCGACCTATCCATCGCCCTCTCCGAAAGTGAGATTAAGCCGATAAAAATAACCCGCACTGGGAAAAAAAACACATTGAATCTAGAGTCTGGACTCTTGGAAACATTGACAAGAAAAAGGACTCTTGATTCAATCAGATTTAAGCTTAAATCAAAAGGAAATCCGCTCAAATTAAGAGGCTTGGTTCTTGATTTAAGCTTAGATCTGATTGAATCTGAGTCCTTTTTCTTCTTAATGTTTTCAAGAGTCTGGACTCTAGATCCAATGTGGCTTTTTTTCCAGTGCGTGAAGCGGCTGAATTCTTAAAAAATAAGCACATTATTGTCGTTTTAGAGACACTTTGCTGTTGCGAAGATCCCATACCCCGATAGGTAAGGTGAAATCCGAATCATAGTAGATATTTGTGATCCTACGGATTTTTTGTGAAGTCCACCATCTGATAATAGCAAATAGTTGCGAGGACCCTACGCAAGGTTGCAGCACTAGTCACTCATGGACTTTTAAATTGGCTCTTAAGAGAGTTCAGGGTCCTACAGAACTGGGGATACTGTGATTTTGAGCAGTCACACAAAACATCATCGAATGGTTAAGCCATCATGGATCGCTTGAAGCGCCTGCAACATCGTATAAATACTTCAAACATTGCATCATTGAACGCAAAGATGCGCCACTCATTCTGCCGTGCTAAGGAAAAACGTCGTATGAACCTTCAGGCGTTGCCAAATTTCCTTTGATAACACACGAATTTCCTGGTAAACTTATGAACATTTCTCTTTCAGTTTTTCAGATAATTTTGTTCGCAATTTCGCCTAAAGTTCCTGAAAATTTCAAGGAAAAATGGACGGAGTTAAACAGAAAGGAACCAAGCCACATCAGGATCGAACCGAGAAAAAGAGGTTGAAAGTTTGGCTCCTGCATAAGACTCAATGTAAAAGATAAACTTCAAGTTCAATTTCTGCAAAATTTGCTCCAACAAAAACTTTGAATTTTTGGTGATAGATAGTAGAGCAGTGGTTGAGTTCAAAACCACTCATAACTCAATTTTTTCCAAAATGTGGGTTGGTTCCTTTCTGTTTAACTCAGTCCAAATATTCATAGCTTTTCTCAGAAATAAGCATTTTAACAAAGAAAATTTGGCAACTCTCGAATGTTCATACGGCGTTCTTCCTTAGCACGGCAGCATTGCTATACCAACGAAGTTAATTCTTAGCATATACCGTTTGGAGCGCCTGCAAAATCTGATGAATAATTCAAACATTGCATCATCAAAAGCAAAGATGCGCCAATAGCTTACACATCGCTTGACGTCAAGCATCACCGGCTCCTTACAGTTTTCTCCCTCTCCCTCTCCCTCTCCCTCTCCCCCCCCTTTCCTCATTATATTTCCATTTTCAAGCATATCCACCTCTTGCCATCATGGCTAACACTTGAAGCAAATAATAATAAATTACGTAACTTTTCAGGTCTTGATGCTCCAACTCAGAAAAATCACACAGATAGAGAATGGAAGCACTGGATAGTAGGCAATATACCTGCAAATAATATCACTGCTGGCGAAACAATAGTTCCTTATCAAGGAGTGGGATTTTCTTTTGAAAACGGTAGGTTTGTGTCTCAGGGCAACTGAGGGCTGATCGTAGAGATCGATAAACAAAGCTTTAGAGAAAGAAGACATAAGGAGTATGGAACGATCCTATTGGTTAGAGTGGGTGGTTTTTATAGACTAATGGAGTAAATGATTGACTGACTAAAGGGTTTCTCTTGGGTTGCCGTTAGTTACTATCTCCATTGTCTATTTAACCGCAACCACCCGCTTCCGCCAGTAGGATCCCACCATATCCTTTTTGTCTTATTTTGCCATCGCTTTGACTACCAATTTCAACGATCTGTCCGCAGTTCTCAAGATATGGTCTTCCAACTCCCAAGTTCCTATATATGCGAAGTATTGCTCGGAGGTCTGTAGAGTGGAATTGGAAACAAGAGAGAGAGGCGAGAGGACAAAAGCGGAGAAATACGCAGAGTAGGAAAAATAAGCAAGTGTGAGCACTGTGAGCCTTCCTGGAAACAAATTCAAACTATGGACGACCTTAACGTGTGTGCTCTGACATTGAAAATTCTCGTTCTAGCCAACGAAAAATCCCATTCATCTTAATTAGTTAAATTTAACTAATGTTTTCCTAGAAGAAAAAAGGGAGGAAAAATGTCTTGGTTTTTTTTTTTTTTTTAATTTTTTTTTTTAATTTTAGTCAAAAAGATCACAAAGTGAAGCGATGTCTTAATTTAATTCTTACGGCGAAAATGAGTATTGAATTTTGCTGAGCATCATTTTCGTGCCGTCAAAAGAGCACGTGCGGAAGTAGAAAAATATTAAGAAAGAGCTTTCTAAGGATTAATGCAAACTTGAGAATCATATTATTTTGGCCATTTTTCGCGAATTTATTTACATTGAATTATTTTAAACGATGTAATGAACAGCACTTAAGATAACTAGTATCCTTAGATTTGAGTCAAACATGGCCTCAGCGTTAAAGTCGTGATGCCGATCCACGCTTGCTACTTTGATGAATTACAAGAAAGTTCCTGTGTTCGTGAAAAATATATTTATGAGAGTAGAAGGTGCGTTGTTTCCTTTCGTTCCAAAATACCAAAAAATGTATCAGTTAACTAAAGGCGAGATAAAATTTTAGAGATTGTTACGCCGAAATAATAACCATGTACTATGGTCAAATTATCCGGTGTGAAAATGGAAGCGCAAATCGTCTAAAATGTTGATCCATTCAGACATTTAATGTATCCATGACGGGCAGTAACTTCAGCTATTTATCAAAATGTTTACATGTTTAACCTTATTATAATCGCAGGTCCACATAGAATGGTGTTTATGGTCTACGAGCAGCCCTGGCAAAATACAATAGATTTCTCCGAAAAAATTCTAGCAGAAAGGTAAGAATGCCACAATTGAGTTTCTTTCCATTCAAATTTAGGAATTTTCTTCCCAACATAATGTAAATGATAAACTACCAATATATTGCCTCAGCAGCATTTTTGCGATTCTTCGCCCAAATAGAGTAGAGCTTTAAAGGGTCATATAAAGAGGTTGTTCCATCCCCCATTAGATTTGGCCCCCTATCAGATATGATCCATCTTTTCAGGAGTGATACAGTAGCATGCGAGACGTTCAAATATGGCGGTCATTTTGACTTAGGCCCCCCCAGAGAGGGGGGGCGGGGGGTCAAAGTCAAAACCTTCAACTGCCTATAACTTTTGAGCGAAAAATCGGATTGAGTTGAACTTTTTTTTAAATGAAAGATCTCAAAAAGATCTATCTGCTGATACCAGAAAAATTGAAAAAAAGTTAAATTTAATGCAAATTTTTAGCAATTTTTCAATTTTTTAGGGGACAAAATTTTCAATTTTGTCGTGTTTCGGCACCGCGCAATGACTCTACTAAAACAAAAACCAGTTTTTTAGATTCTACACTTAATTTCCTACAAGATGCAAAAAACCGCATCTTGGGGAAACGTTTAGATCGCGAGCTATGGCTCGTCAAAGTTAGCCCCGCGCTGAGCGCGCGCGCCCTGCGCTGTTCGCATATCCTCTGCGCGTCTGCCACCGATCCTGTTGCCCCTCCTCCCCCTTCCTAAATGCAAATTAACATTCTACTACCCAGCTTTCGTATATATCTGCGTTATAGGTACGTGAAAATTTCAGCAAGTTCGTGATTTCCAGTGGAATTGATGCTTTATTTCCCCCCCCCCCCCCAACCCGGCCACTGGCACTGAAGTGTGCCCCTGCCAACAACGAAATCATTTTATATTTCTCAAAGCTATGTGGAGAAAAATCGTGCGAAATATTTTTTAATTCCTCAGCAGCCTATTATGAATACCCATAATAATGTCGGCCTCTCATGAATGGTAAACGCTCAATACACCGAAAAGTGGTTGGGAGGTGGGATAAAAAATTACCTCAATTCGATCTCGTAGTCACAGGGTGCTACATCAGCAAAAACATGAAACAAGAAAATTTATATATTTCTTTTTTGCACAATATTTGGAGCACAGTGGCCGGGTTGGGGGGGGGGAGCGAAATAAAGCATCAATTCCACTGGAAATCACGAACTTGCTGAAATTTTCACGTACCTATAACGCAGATATATACGAAAGCTGGGTAGTAGAATGTTAATTTGCATTTAGGAAGGGGGAGGAGGGGCAACAGGATCGGTGGCAGACGCGCAGAGGATATGCGAACAGCGCAGGGCGCGCGCGCTCAGCGCGGGGCTAACTTTGACGAGCCATAGCTCGCGATCTAAACGTTTCCCCAAGATGCGGTTTTTTGCATCTTGTAGGAAATTAAGTGTAGAATCTAAAAAACTGGTTTTTGTTTTAGTAGAGTCATTGCGCGGTGCCGAAACACGACAAAATTGAAAATTTTGTCCCCTAAAAAATTGAAAAATTGCTAAAAATTTGCATTAAATTTAATTTTTTTTCAATTTTTCTGGTATCAGCAGATAGATCTTTTGGAGATCTTTCATTTAAAAAAAAGTTCAACTCAATCCGATTTTTCGCTCAAAAGTTATAGGCAGTTGAAGGTTTTGACTTTGACCCCCCGCCCCCCCTCTCTGGGGGGGCCTAAGTCAAAATGACCGCCATATTTGAACGTCTCGCATGCTACTGTATCACTCCTGAAAAGATGGATCATATCTGATAGGGGGCCAAATCTAATGGGGGATGGAACAACCTCTTTGTGGTAGCTGATCACATTTTACGACTTGTATTTATGACTAATTATTAATGTTTGTCTCGTGATAAATTACGCTTCAACAAACAAATCGGGGTTGCAATTTGATTAGATATTTTTATTTTGCTTGTTCGTTTTTTTAGCCCGATTCGACCAAGATTTGACACTAGAAAATTTGCCGAGAAGTACAGTATTGGAGACCCTATCGCAGCTAATTTCCTCATCTGTGAAACTAATTGGCCCGCACCAACAAACCTGACTCTGTAATTTTTAGTTTGCGTTTTTACTATCATTCATTCTTCTAATTATCATACAGGACACGACAGAAAATTCATTCAATTTATGTGCATTACATACATGTACGTTTAAAGGCAGTAATCACTACTTTGTTACTTTTCCTCTAGTTTAAAGTGTAAATAAATGAATTAATTTATTATCGGTAAGATAATTCCACAATATCACACTTGAAATCCATTTTTAAACATACATAGAAATTAAACGCACAAGAGACGGAAATACTTTTTTTTCCTGGTGGGTTCTAAACCAGCCCCCAGGAACAAGGGTGGATCTAAGGGGCTCAGAAAAGGAATCTGCTTTTAAGCGCTCAGCCGATAGGCAGCGCTTTTTGATTTCGACTTAGAAACTATAGCATAGAAACTATAAGTCATTAAAACATATGTCTTAATATTTCACAGTCCTTAAAATCAGCAGAGGATTGATTAATTGAATCAGTGAGAATGAAAGCACACCAACTTGAAAAAATGAAGACAATCGAGACACACACAAAACTAGAGAACAGGTGAAGAAGTTATAAGAAAAAGATCTTTGATGCCGAAAGGCAAGTACGTGAGGGCACTTCAAAGGTCCAAGTTGGAATAGAGGAGCTAACTTCAATGGCCCTCATGAAAATTGAGCATCTTGGAGTTACCGCGTTGTTGTGTTTTCATTCCCACTGATTCAATTGCCTTCTTTCCTAATGCAACTTCAACGGAATTACTGATAACCTCACATTAATAACGCATTCCTCAGATGAGATGCGCCCCCCCCCCTTTCCCTATTTTTGAAAAATAAAAATTAGTAGAGGTGATACTTATACACAGCCTTGAAGAACCCTGACCCTTCATGTAATAATAATTCATATGATATGAGATCATTCACCAAATGGGTTTAACAGCACCGACAAATGAAATAAACAAAACGAATGATTGACCATTATCAGTATGTGACTTTTCTCTGATGAGTGTAGATGTGGATGAAGGCAACAAGTAACAAGTGACCTCTTGAGGCGAATTTCATTTTGTGGATCGGAACTACTTTAGCACCGGAACCTTGCAGCTGCCGTTTGATTTAAGTTCGGAAATTCCAATCCGGTGCGACAACGCAATGTGGGTACGTCATTTCGGTACCCATCCCCCCCCCCCNCCCCCCGGTGAGGTGGTTCTAAAAATGGTTCAATCCAACAAAAACCGATTGATGTAATTGGTCGAATCCGTAGGCTGCAGCGTAGTCCATTTATGTTGATGATTGATGACACAGAAACCGGGCATAATTCCGAGGAGGCTCGGCACTTTAAATACAATTCGCTTTTTCTCTATTAATGCAAATATATACTCTTGATGTGTCTGTGCCCAGGAACATTTAACTCATTTTGGTGGCCCATGACTTGACAGGTAAGGCGTCAAACAAAGTAAATTATACGTCTGAATCCACATGGTGAAACATCGTGGTGCTTAAGTCGAAGATACCGTATCTCTAATTGCACCTTGTAGATTTCTGCTCAGGTTTCAATATTTTGAAAAAGAATTAATCGTCAATTTTTCTTGAAATTTTCTGTGAATTTTCTTCACTCCTTCAAAGATATTCGCAGAAAAATCCAAGAGGAGATTTTGGTTGGTTAAAACTACGGTGGGTAGAGGGCATCCGTGAAGAGATGGAGAGATGCCAGCTTCCGGAGGATCTCTACCATGACAGATTCCTGTGGAGAGTAGACGTCGTAGGGCGCCCTAGCGCGCCGTAAAAGCGGCTTATACATACAAACATAAAACTTAGAAAAATAAACGGAGAATCTGAAACATTGCAGTGCATTTACGTTCCATCCGATTTTAGCCCTCACTATGTTATCAATGCGTCTCTAAGTATTGACCAGCTTCCTACATTAAGTTTTCTCCTACTTATCATTTATAATATATCAACGCTGACGCCACCCTCTGGAAGAAATTGCCTGTTTCAAATGAAGCAAGCACATTACGCTTTAGCATCATTGTGACATTTTCAGGCTAGTTAAATGAACAAACATTCAGAATATCCTTTCAAAATTTTCAGGAGCAAAATAGAAAAAAAAGTATCAGGTATTTGCCAACATGTTGCAGCAACCCTGGCAGAGTTTCCACGATATATCGATATACATAGCTATGCATGTTCTAATCTTATCATCAATCTCTGTGAGAAGCAAAGAAGTGACTGTGACAGACAATCCCTTGCAATATTCGCCAGAGAAAATAAAGGCCGCTTTGGAGGAGCATGAAATAATACCGGATGCATTAGACGTCGCACCTGAGAAGGGAATTAAGGTACGCAATACGCACCCGCATTTAATTAACCTTGTCCCCGAAGACTGCATCGAGCCTGAAAGATACTGGCTTATAGTCTAAGATCTATGCTGCATGAAGTGTAAAATATATTTCATTGCTTCATAACTGTTTGGTATGTCTTCCTCGTATCCAATACTACCAAAAAAAAGAAGGAAAAAAAGAACTAAATTAAATATGTAATACAATCCGATACGGTTGATTAAGATTGTCGTGTGAAAAATACCCCTATTTTATTCTGCTTTGAGTTAAATGAAAATAATTAGTTTCCGCGTTTTTCTTTCACGTCACGTGAACTTGAGAATTTTTTTTAAGCGTGCCAGTAGGGCTCGCTTTTTGAAATCACTCGGATGTACCATAGTACAGCACACAGATCAACCAATACTATTCAACGGGTCGTCCAAATACTTTTTTCCTCGCACCCGTTTCTTTGTCTTTGAACTATTACACTGTCAAGCCCTGATGGTGTTTACCAAAAAATCTAATGAACTGCTAATTGGAAACCCTTGAGAACATTTTTCTATCAAAACCGTATTATTCAATTTGACAGAAACCTCATAGGAGCTTTCTTACGCTCGGAGG